AGGGGGGATTTAAATCCCCGCTTCATTTGCAATTGCGATGTGTCTAATTTGCATCCCTTTTACGGAAAAGGGATGAAGTCTAGACACAGCCATTAGGTATTTAATGCTGGGCACTCAAAGTTTGAAGCACTGAAAATTAAAGACCACTTTTGAAAAGGTGGCCCTCGGTCTTTGTGAGCTTCAATTTCCTGATCTAGAAAATGAGAGCAAGCTTAGTTACCTGTCTCAAATGGGTGTTGTGATGCTCAGATGAATAAGACTTCTAAACAGTCATCTAATTGCAAACACTAATTAAGGCCAGGAAAGAGCAAAAGCCGGAATAGACCTCACAGATTCCTAGATACCTGTCAGGAGACTATTAGAATGACATTAACTAGTCTGGTGTGGTGATTCTTATACTGGTCATGATGGAGATATACAATTTCCCTTGCATTCAGAGAGTTACATTGGTGGTGGACTAGACTCCTCTGCCCAGAGTAGTTCAGAATTGGAGTAACTATAGGAGAATTTTCCTAACATAAAAAAGCTTAGAATTCATACGCAGGCCTTTGGCTTGCGCTCTGCCTCAGTGAGTCACCAGCCTTTTCTAATCCCCTCTTAAAATATATTTTCTTTCTCTTGCTTGTGTATCTTGTCTTCACTGGTCTTGAACTGGAGTCTAAGGGCACATGCACACAGCAGGGCTAAAGAAACGCAACTTCAGCTACATCAATTGTATAGCTTAAGTTAAAATAGCTTCATTCAACTTTTGGCACTATCTACACCACAAGAAGTTGAAGGAAGAGCATTCTTCCTTTGACTTTCCTTACTCCTCGGCTGTGTATAGACTGGCAAGTTTTGTCTACACTGGCTGCTTGAATTTCCGGAAAAGCACTGACGATCTCCTGTAAAATGATCAGTGCTTTTCCGGAAATACTATGCTGCTCCCGTTCGGGCAAAAGTCTTTTTCCGAAAGACTTTTGCGTGAAAGGGCCAATGTAGACAGCATAGTATTGTTTTCCGCAAAAAAGCCCCGACAGCGAAAATGGCGATCAGGGTTTTTTTGCGGAAAACCGCGTCTAGATTGGCCAAGGACGCTTTTCCGCAAAAAGTGCTTTTGTGGAAAAGCATCTTGCCAATCTCGACGTACTTTTCCGAAAATGCTTTTAATGGAAAACTTTTCCGTTAAAAGCATTTTCGGAAATTCATGCCAGGCTAGACGTAGCCCTCATGAAATGAGGGTTACCAGGAGTTGGAGTAAGAAGTCCGCCATCTCAACGTTATTTTGAAATAAAGGATTGTAGTCTAGACATGCTATATGTTATTTTCAATAACATCAGTTATTCTGAAATAACACGTACCCTAAATGCTTTCCTTGCAAGATTGCTTCATACCAATTTGGCATTTATACTGTAACCTATCTGAAGTTTTGTAACCCTATAAAATATTCAGCCTGGAAATAAGATGTAAATGTTTCATGGTGAGAATAATTAATCATTGGAACAATTTATGAAGGGTTGTGGTGGATTTCCCATCACCAACAACTTTTAGCTCACTATTGGATGTTTTTGCAAAATATTTGTTCTAGGAATTATTTTAGGGAGGTTAGGTCAGGTTAGATGGTCCCATTAGCCCCTTCTGACCTTGGAATCTGTGAAATTGAGGATAAAGTTTGCATGGGTTTTGCTGTTCCAAATAATACCATGTTGTATTCCACATTGACTTTTCCAGGAACGCCCGTTGTTGTGATGTCTGCTTGGATCCTTACCAGAATCTACAGACAGAATACAGGGTAAATCGAAATCACAGTGGGGTTAAGCCTTACATTGTGCACTATAAATGTGATTCATCAACAAGGGGGGTTTAAAAAGATTCATCAACAAGGGGGGTTTAAAAAGTAACAAAAGGTTTGAACCACAAGAATTAGCATTTCTGAGCTTCTTCAAATTCAGAAAAAGGCAAATGAGGAAGGAATTTTGAGAACGATCTCCCAAATTACATCAGCACTGGTCGCTCATGATTGGATCACAAATCTCACAATGTTGAAATAGTTTTCTTAACTCCCCAGCTGCTGCATTCATGAGATTTTAGGAGACTCTTGCCTTTCATTTTAAAATATATTTCTAGCCTTTGCAGTTGCGAGGAAAACTTGACAACATGAAGCACGTGCACTCTGAAGCCAGAAGACAAATAAAAAGAAGCAAATGATCATTGTATTTCTACAAGGCATGGGTTTTAAGCCAATCACATGATTTTGGGGCATTCTGCTCCATTTTGGAACATTCGGGGTTAGCAATAGTGTATATATGAACTCCTGCATTTGAATGATTATGCCGTGTATTGTAACTGTCCTATATCTCCATCCCAGACCTCACACTTCCTCCATTAATATCATGGAAGAGTGTGACCTTTAACTGCTTTCCAAGTTCTTGGCGTGCTCTCCTCCCTCAAAAATGATTGCCCACCCCTGCTATAGAGAAAACTTCTGCCAAGCGAAAAGCTGCAAGAACTTTGGGGAGATGCTTTTAACCTGCTTCCAACAAGAGTTAATGACAGCCACTTTTCTGTACCAAGACTTGAGTCATTTAATATTCAGCACAAATCAGCTCAGGTAATTAATTAGTTTCCTCTTTCAGATGCTGGGATGATGATGATGAGAATGCAGCGGTGTTATGGATCATCAAGGGACCCATACTGCTATCTGTATTAGTGAGTTTTGCCTTTGATCTGCGGCATCCTTTGAAGAACTGAAAGCTAAGCACGTCTCTCTGTTCAGTAAGCCAGGGAGACAGTGCTGCATGCCGCAGTTAATTTGTGTTGAATTTAGGAAGCTGGGAATTGTTGCGTAACGCTTGCTATAGCGTGAGTGGAAGACAGAGACAAGCAGCAGTGAAATGCATGAAAATTACAAAGGAAGGGCGAAATGCCGCCCTGGTATGTTTTTATAAAGCTCCATTTAAGCCGATGTAAGCTATGTGTGTGCAAAGGCAGCTGAAGCTGGCCACAGTGCAAGAGCACCCACAAGGCTAATTACCCACAAGGAAAATTTAGCCTCAAAGGCTCATTCAGATTAAACTCAGTTGCTGTGTCTAGACTGGCCAGTTTTTCTGGAAAATCAGCTGCTTTTCCGGAAAAACTTGCCAGCTGTCTACACTGGCCGCTTGAATTTCAGCAAAAGCAGTGACTTCCTACTGTAAGAAATCAGTGCTTTCTGCGGAAATACTATGCTGCTCCCGTTTGGGCAAAAGTCTCTTTTGCGCAAAACTTTTGTGCAAAAGGGCCAGTGTAGACAGCTCAGATTTGTTTTGCGCAACAAAGCCCCGATCGCGAAAAGTGCGTTTGCGGAAAAGCGTCCGTGCCAATCTAGACGCTCTGTTCCGAAAATGCTTTTAACTGAAAACTTTTCCGTTAAAAGCATTTCCGGAAAATCATGCCAGTCTAGACATAGTCAGTGTGTACAGTAACCTGTAAAGTCATCTATCATGCACTCATGTATCTGGCCTCAGAATCCATCCCCTAAATGTGTGGAGGTACTTAGATTGCAAACTCCATGGAGCATGAGGTAGCTATTTGCGCTGTGTTTGTACAGCACCTAGTACCACATAACTGAGGCTCCTCAGAGCTACCACAATACAAATGAATGCTAATAATAAAGAGCTTGGGATGTGCCTGTACCTAGTCATTTATCTTTCCCTTGGTTTCATTTTTCGGTTTTCTCTTCAAACCATGAACACTATTGTGCTCTACCCAGACGCTCATCAGTCTTTGCTCCAACTTTATGCCAGTGGATTTTGCAATCGAGCTTTTAGGACAAAATTGGGTCACTGTATACGCAGGGAAGATGCTTACTGGCTTAAGTTGTATTGCAACATCTGTTTTGTGGAACATTGCAGAAATGCCTAAAGATTAGCATCAACATCCATACTGAGGCATCTCACAAAAAGTGGCCTCATTTTCCATCTCTGAGCAAGGAACCCTATTGTTCAGTATCATTATGGAAGCACATTATAATTGAAACCCAGGCTGTTTCCTTAGGTACCTAAATAAGGATTTGGGGGTGTCACCGTAGGCAGCTAGAGAGGAAGTTTTGTGCTTCTTATTTATTGGATTGTGTAAAGATTGAGAGCCAGATTCTCAGTGGGTATAAAGCTGCTTTGACTTGAGCGGATCGCTATTGTTTTGTACCGACTAACGATCTGGCTCTGTGTCTGAGGGAGTTTAGAAACCCTGTCTTCTCTTTGCAGATTAACTTCATTATATTTCTCAATGTCATCAGAATTCTGGTGCAGAAATTGAAATCTCCAGAGGTCGGCGGCAGCCATTCGAGCCATTTTGTGTAAGTGACGATACCTGTTTTCCACTATCTCCCATGGGATCTGTGGTAAGATATTGCTTATGGGGGGGTGTCCCACTGGGGCATCTTGGTCACTACTAGGGAGAGTAGCTCCCAAAGCAAAGATATAAAATAGAGTTGCCTTCTAAGGTAAAAATCCGTCATCTTTCTAGAGGCCCCAGATAAAAAACTCTCTGTGCAAGACCATCCAAAAGGTGCAGCTGGAAAGCCTACATCTAACAAGCTGTAATGAAGTTAACACGCTCTGCATAGGCTGGGTCCATGCTTTGCCCCACACTTGGTTCCTCTCCCCCCACCATTCTTTTTTTTTATGCACATCACCTATGCCCTGTAGTTTAATGAGCTTCAGAGGCATCTGGTTCCCAGCTATTTAACCCTTCTTTCTGGCTCCATGCCCCCAGGAAATCAGGCCCTTCCGGCAACTTCTGTAATGGTCTCTTAGAACCTTTCTGGGGACTAGCCAGCTCATGGGGTTGGTAAGGCTGGAGAATTTCAGTACTGGGTTGCCAGTCCAATCCAGCCCCCAAATGATGTTGGATGATCTATGGGCAATGAATTGGTGGCCGGCATCCATTTCATAATGGACAGATGGCCCCATCAGAAGAACCACCATCAGGAGTACCATTGACCAGCATCCAGGCCCACTGACCCAGGAGAGAGGAAAAAGATTGCCCTGGCACAGAGAATGAGTGACCCTGCCACCATTAGCCGTGGTGCCTCTGTTCACACACATCAGCTTTGCCCTTCAGCTCACCTGGAGATAAAGTGAGGACTTAGGTCTTGTCTACCTGGCACTGTTAGTTGCCCTTCAGCGGTGTGATTGCTAAAAGTGCATTAGTGTGTTGCACTGGTCCTTGTAAATCCTGATGGTGCACGCTAAACATTCCCATGTGCATGTTCACCATTCCACACCCACGGGGTCCACCCAGATCAATCAATGTGCAACATGCTAGCGTGCTTTAGAAATCACACCCCCATGGTGTGCATTGCCACCCCATGCACAGGTGCCCTTCGTCTTCCGTCTGTTAGCTTCATGCCTCCCATTAAATTAATTGAAATGTTGAAAAATCTTCCATGTTCATGGTATTTTCTTTTCCATTTCCCAGGAGACTAGCTAAATCCACGTTGCTCCTGATCCCCCTCTTTGGAGTGCACTACATCGTATTTGCGTTTTGTCCAGAAAGCACGGGGTTGGAAGCTAGACTTTTTATTGAGCTGGGCTTGGGCTCCTTTCAGGTAGGACGAACAAAGACAGAATTTAATAACTGTCCCAAGCTTGACCAATCCACTGAGGGGAACTGGAGCACTTTGCCTGGGTCTAGTGCAGGCTGGGATGTGGGTCAGAGGGAGCTGGCGGAAGTTCGAACCGGATAAAAGAGAGGTGATGGGTGCTGGGGAGGAGAAATAACATCAGCCCCTCTCCTTGCATTGCGGGTCCATCCATCATTCACTACTTGAGTTCTTAATTGGTGGGTCTGGTTAAACCAACAACTGCAGCTGGCCAGGATCAGGGTCCCAGCCCTTCGCCCCTGCTGCCAGGGGTCAGAGAATCATAGAGCTGGAAGAGACCTCAGGAGGTCATCAAGTCTAGTCCCCTGTCCAAGGCAGGACCAATCCCAACTACATCAACCCAGCCTCTAGGGATGGAGATTCCACCACCTCCCTAGGTAACCCATTCAAGTGCTTCACCCCCCTGCTAGTGAAATAGTTTTTCCACATTTCCAACCTAGACCTCCCCCTCTGCAACTTGAGACCATTGTTCCTTGTTCTGCCATCCATCACCACTGAGAACAGCCTCTCTCCATCCTCTTTGGAACCCCCCTTCAGGAAGTTGAAGGCTTCTATCAAATCCCCCCTCACTCTTCTCTTCTGCAGACTAAACAAACCCAAATCCCTCAGCTTCTCCCTATAGGTCATGTGCTCCAGCCCCCTAATCATTTTGGTTTCCCTCCGCTGGACCCTCTCTAGTGCGTCCACATCCTTTCTGTAGTGGGGGGCCCAAAACTGGACACAATACTCCAGATGTGCCACCGGCCTCATGTCTTACTGCCTGAGGTCCTACTTGCTGGGCCCACTGCCACTTGGGTGTTCTCTGCTGGCCATGGGTCTTGCTGTGGGCATGCTGCGGGACCCCACATGCAGGGTGCAACCTGTCTGCTACTCCTGGGGTCCAGGCTACTGTCCCCATATTGGGGGGCCCGGCTGCTGGCCTTAGCATGAGTAAAATCTCCATCTCCCCCACCACTCCGAAAACTGTTCCAGCACCATTGACCTCTTTACAATCAAATTAAAGACATATGCTGGGCACAAGGACTTTCTGGCAAAGCTGCAGCGCTTAGGAGAAAGCCTGGGGTGGAAATTTTGAGCCCAGACTGTAGCTGCCCTTATCCCTTGGCTGTCTACTTCAATGCTCTCAGTGACAGGCCCCGGGAAAGACTAATCCGAGGGAGGAACCAGAGGTCAGGGGATGGCCTGTTGGTTACAGAAAGATATTTTCAGGCTTTGAGGAGAATATTTGGGGCATATGATATGTAGGGGTGTAGAAACAACAGTCTGCTCTATTTTGGAAAATAGCACACCCATATATTTAAAACACATAGTTTTGTAACTTCAGTGTGAGTACTTGTCTGGTCTCTGATGATCTCACTGAGGGCAGCTTTTGCCTTGATATTTATAAAGAAGCTGTCAAAACCCTGAAGTAGAACCTCAGCCTTCTACTTCGCTGTTAACATATTTTAACAAAACCATTGGCTGTTTAGGACCGTGTGCCCCACAGGCAGGACTGCACTGCTAACAGCAGCACGAGAGCCCAGCTTCAAAACCCACAGGCCTCTTCTACTTGTGCGAAAGGAGAACTGGGGGTAACTGCGAGCAGTGTAGGGCCCCTTGCACACATGGGAGGTGTTTTGATTATATCCATTACAGGCAGCATTGCACATATACAATATCAAGTCCATTACAGTGTTTAGTTTCAATAGGAAAGCCATATAAGTTGTGCCACACGACCAAAATACTGACAGGAAAAATTATATTATTGTGTGTCCTAATCCAGCTATTAAATAGGCTGATGTCATTCTACAATTACAGCTGCATCCCAAGTTATGAATAAGTTATGGACCAACGTTTGGTCCATAAATCGAAATGTTCATAACTCGGATCCCATAGAGTTACATGGCGACCGCGTTGTTCATAAACGTGGATCGCCGTTCGTAACTCGGATCTGCATTTACGACCGCTTTGGTCATAAGTGCGGATGGTCATAAGTGGAGGTAGTCATAACTCGGGGAACGGCTGTACCTGTGCTCCAAGGCCTGTGGTGCTGAAATTCATCTTTTTTTCCCCCAGAAATGACCATTTTTTTCTTATTTTCCTAGGGTTTTGTGGTTGCCCTTCTATATTGCTTCTTAAATGGAGAGGTAAGTAGCAAGACGTGAGATTGAAAAGCACCTTTCAAACTGATAGGCTTCCATTGTTTTGCTTGAGTGCCAATTTCCAGGCTAGGCCATCATGTTTTCCTTTGATCTCCTCCTGAAAGCATGAAATAGCCATTTGCTGTCTTCCTGCCTGTGTTGCTTTGCTTTATCTAAATTCCTACCATTCTGGTCTACTACAGAAGAGTTACAACATCAGTTTTGAAGTAGCAACCCCTTGACAATTCCTTGGTTAGGGGTTCTCCTTTCATGAGAGAGTTTGTTTTGTTAGGTTATTTCAAAATAGTCTACACAGCAAGCCAGTTATTTTGGAATAATTTAGAAATAACAGGCTTCTTACTCTGACTTCGGTGTTCCTCATTGCACGAGGAGTAAGGGAAGTCGAAGGAAGAGTGTTCCTCTTTCGACTTCCTGCTGTGTTGACATCGCCAAAAGTCGAGTTCTGCTACTTTGACTCAAGCTACGCAATCAATGTAGCTGAAATTGCATATCTTAACTCGACTTTGTCCCGCAGTGTAGATGTACCCTTAGTGTCTCTAGGCACATCTAGACTACGTTTTAATTTCGAAAGAGGATATGCAAATTCCATGGGAATTTGCATATCTTCTTCC